GAGCTGGGGAGGGTCTCGGGGTCACCTCTCCCCAACCTTCTGAACACCTCGGGGGTTGTTTCTAGAATGGGGAGGGGGCTCAGGGTCATACCTGCCCAGGCTTTTGGGGCTCTGGGGTGTCCCCTCTGAGCTGGGGAGGGTCTCGGGGTCACCTTTCCCCAATCTTCTGAACACCTCGGGGTTGTTTCTAGGATGGGGAGGGGGGAGGGGTTATACCTGCCCAGGCCTTTGGGTCTCTGGGGTGTCCCCTCTGAGCTGAGGAGGGACTCAGGGTCACACCCCCATGCTCTCAGGCACCACTATGTCCCCTCTGAGCTGGGGAGGGGCTTAACGAGCCTCAGGTGTCCCCTCTGAACGAGGGTTGTGTCTCCTCCACAGGCTCCTGCCAGGGGAACTCTGTGGAGAGGAAGATCTACATCCCCCTGAACAAGACTGCGCCATGTGTGAGGCTGCTCAATGCCCCCCCCCAAATTGGCTGCCAGTGTGAGTCCTGGGGGGCTGTCAGCTCACGGGGGTGGGTGTGAGCAGTTCTCCTGGTACCCCATTCTCAGTGCTTTGTGTCCTCCTCATCCTGTGCTGGGAAGGAATCCTGGAATGGTTTGGGTTGGAAGAACCTTAAGGATAGCTTAGGGCATGGGCAGGGGCATCTCCCACTAGCCCAGGTTGCTCCAAGCCCTGTCCAACCCGGCATGGAACACTTCCACATACTCTTAGCTGAGAAGCAGCAGAACTGTGTCTGTTCCTTGTCCCAGAGCAGTTTGCTGCTGTCCTTCCTTTCTAGTCATGGGACACTGTGAGAGTCACAGGACACGCAGTGGTGGCTGAAGGTCCTTTGAAGAGCTCAAACAGAAGTCGTTTTCAGAGCCTGAGAGCTCGTTTCTTCATCTCTGCTTAGCTGGTTTTACCCTACCAAACCACCATTCCTTTTGCTGTCCTGCTCAGCCACTTCCCAAATCCCTTTCTCCATCCCTCTAACCCCATGAGCTGCTCTCCCCTAAAGCCCTTAGCTCTTCCAGAGTGTTTTTTGGGGTGTGAAGGGAGTAGCTGACTTGCGGGATGTGTCCTCATCCCACAGCCTCCATCAGTGGGGACACAGGGGTGATCCACGTGGTGGAGAAGGAGGAGGACCTGCAGTGGGTGCTTGCTGATGGCCCAGACCCACCCTACATGATCCTGCTGGATGGGAATCTCTTCAACAGGTCAGTCAGCATCAGGTTCTGTCTCCCCAGGCTGTGTGGAGCTCAATAAGGCTCCATAATCTGGTGGTGAAAGGTCATTTTCCAAGGGTCACGTGGTACAATCAGCTCTGACTGTGCCAAAATCCACTGAGATTGAATGTTTAGTGGTTTCTTCTGTGCTTTGTTGACTCTATTTGAGGCTCTTTGCTGTGAGAAGGTCTCTGCTCTGAGAGAATCCTGCTCAGCACTGCAGCAGCTCCTCAAGTCCATCAAGTAATAGGCCATGATTTAATGACAGCACTAATTAAAGTCCATTAGCTGCTGAGATTAAAGTGTCACTTTAATGTCACTTCTCTCCCTGGGCAGAGCAGGAAGGATGTGGCTGAAGTTCTCTTTTTGCTGCTCTTTGCATGATCTCAGGCAGTTGTAAGCTGAAGAACAAGGGCCACGGTGGTTGCTTTGATCCCAGCACCATCACATGCTCAATCTACGTCCTGGGTCACAGCTCTGCGCTAATTAGCCCTAATTGCAATGTTTCCTCCCTGCCAGGAGGGTGTTGCTGCAGCTGAAGGGAACCTCCAGGGTGTCAGGCCTTGCTGTGGCCATGGCCAAGCCCAACCCTCCCCAGGGATTCTCTCCTGGCCTGAAGTGTCCCAATGATGGCTTTGGTAAGGAGATGTTGTGTCTTTGTCCTTGTTGGGAGGAGGAGAATGTGGGATGAGCCCAGGCCATGGGACACTGTGTGGGCAGCAGGGGAGGGGAGGATTGTGCCCCTCTGCCCTGCTCAGGTGAGACTTCACTTGCAGTGCTGCTCCAGCTCTGAGGTCCCAGCACAGGGAGGACATGGAGCTGTTGGAGCCAGCCCAGAGTTGATGAGAGGGATTGAAGGAAAGGCTAAGAGAACTGGGATTGTTCTGCCTGAAGAAGAGAAGGAAACAGAGTCACCTAGTTGTGGCATCTAGTGCCTGGTGGGACTACAAGGAACATGGGCGAGACAATTTCCAAAGGCCTGGAGGGACAGGACACAGGAAATGCTTCCCACTGACAGAGGAGGGGTAGATTGGATATTAGGGATAAATCCTTCTCTGGGAGGTGCTGAGGCACTGGCACAGGTTGTCCAGAGGAACTGTGGCTGTTCCATCCCTGGGAGTGTTCCAGGCCAGGCTGGACAGAGCTTGGAGCCCCCTGGGCTGGTGAGAGGTGTCCCTCCCTCTATTCTTCAGATTTCAGGCTCAGATTTCCCTTTCCAGGTGTCTACTCCAAGGACTATGGCCCTGAGTTCGCCCACTGCAACACCACAGTGTGGAACCCCATGGGCACTGAGCTTTCCTACGAGGACTTTGACTTCCCTATTTTCCTCCTGGAAGATGCCAACGAGACCCAAGTTATCAAGCAGGTACCTGAGCTCATCCTGAGCAGGCAGGAGGGGAAATTGCTCCCACAGGAAAGAGGCTCAGCTGTTCCTTTCTCCCACTTAGAGCTTGAAATCTGTAGTAAAAGCATAAACCCCCTCTGTTTTCTGTGTGGCACAGGAGCTGTTAAAACACACCTTGAGTCCTGTCCTGGTTTTTGTTCCCTCCCCCAGTGCTACCTGGACCACAACGTCCCCCGGGATGGCTCCAGGCCGGAGTACCCGCTGTGTGCCATGCAGCTCTTCTCCCACATGCACGCTGTCACCAGCACTGTCACCTGCATGCGGCGCAGCTCCCTGCAGAGCACCTTCAGCATCAACCCAGGTGAGGCTCCTCACAAAATCCCCCCAGCATTGACATTTTCTTCTGGCTTTCTAGCCCCTCCAGGACTTGCCTGAAGTTTGCTCGTCCCAGTTTTGCCCCTCTGAGCTGAGCAGGAAGCTCCTGGCTCACTTGGCACTGCTGTGGTCCTGACTCAGGGATGTGTTTTGTGCTTTGCAGAGATTGTGTGTGATCCTCTCCTGGATTACAACGTGTGGAGCACTTTGCAACCCATCAACTCCTCAGGAAAGGTGGAGCCCGAGAAGGAAGTTATCATGGTTGCTACAAGAGTAGGTACCTCCTAACCTTGCTCTTAATCAACATGAATGATCCCATGGCCTGGAATGATTCTGGAAACGTTCCAGTCTCATGGGAATGTTCTTCTTGTGTGTTCTAATTCCTTCCCATCTTCCAAACCTCTTGGATGTGCCTTGGCTGGGTTGTCTCTTGTGGCAGTGGAAGGACAATCCACACTTTGGGTCTTTCCATCTTGTAATAGAAGGGTTTTTTCCAGCATTTCCTTCACTGCTGGAAGCAGACAAGGAGAACTAGTCCTGGGCAGAGCTCTGAGGCCTCAGGGCTGAAATTTAAAGGGGAGTTTAGGTGAGACACTAGGTAGAAATTCCTCCCTGTGAGGGTGAAGAGGCACTGGAATGGAATTCCTAGAGCAGCTGTGGCTGTCCCATCCCTGGGAGTGTCCCAGGCCAGGTTGGATGGGGCTTGGAGCAGCCTGAGCTGGTGGGAGGTGTCCCTAGGTGGAACTGGATGATCTTTAAGATCCTCCCAACCCATTCCACGATTCATTACCACAGCAGTACCCTTGGTATTTAAGTCTCACTGTTGGAGGTGCTTTGGTCCCTCCCTTCCCAGTGGGATTGGAGGGAGGGCTGGATTTGCTTTCCCAGCACAGCCTGGCTGTGTCTGTGCCCCCAGATTGACAGCCACTCCTTCTTCTGGAACATTGCCCCCGGGGCTGAGAGCGCTGTGTCCTCCTTCGTCACCCACCTGGCTGTGGCCGAAGCCCTTCACAAGGCCTCAGATGTCCATCTGCTGCACAGGAACATCATGTTCACCTTCTTCCAAGGGGTAAGAGCAGTAGGGTCACATCCCTCCACCCTCTGGCTCCCTCCAAGCTAGCAGACCAGCCCTTGGCTCCCTGCAAACCAGCTCCTTCCCTGCTCATTGTGTGGAGCTGTTTGTCTCCATCCCCTCGTGGTGGTTCTCTGCTCTCCCCCAGTGGGAACAGGAGCTTAATTGCGTTGGGATAACGACAGCAGATGGAGCTTCCTCTGGGGCAGCCCAAATCCTGCCCCATACATCATGCTGGATGAATGGCTCCAAGTTTGCTTCCTCTCCTGGCTCCTCCTGGCGTGGCTGTTGGCTCTGCTCTGCCTCAGCCCTGAGCAGGAGGAACTTCCAGGCTGTAAATTCAGAAACAAAGCCTGGAAAAAGGCAGAATTAAAAATATATGTGTTGACAGCAGCGAGCTGTAGCTCATCTGGGGGAGTTGGCAGCTGAGCAGGAGCAGCGTGGGGAGGAGGGCCTGATGGCCAACAGCTGATGTTCCCCTCAAGGCATCTCCGTGGCTGCTTCCTTTGTGCTGTTCCCGTGCCTGCCCATGTGATTCCCCTCGTTCACCTCGGCACACACAGCCCTGATTTCCCTGGAGGACACACATCCAGGCTGTGCAGAGGACGTTCTCCCTGCTCCCAGCATGGAGGAGGAGAGCTGACTGGGAATGAGGGGAAGTTGGTGGCTGGAGGACTTCCCTTCTCCCAAGGGCACCTTGTCTTCCCCAGGGAATACTCAGCCCCTCACAGCTCCCTGGACAAGCTCCTTCCCCATCCTTTGTTCCAGGGAAGCTGCTGCAAATCCTTTCAGGAACACTTCTTATGTGTGATTCCTGGAGTAGGGAATTGTCCTTTTCTTTGTTTTGTCCTCCCTACCAAAAACAGTCAGGAATGTTTAGCCTGGAGAGGCCTCTGGGGAGACCTAACTGTGGCTTCCAGTGCCTGAAGGAGCCACAAGGAACATGGGAAAGACTATTTGTAAGGGCCTGGAGGGACAGGACAAGGGGGAATGACTTCCCACTGACAGAAAGGAGGATTAGGTTGGATATTAAGGATCAATCCTTCCCCATGAGGGTGCTGAGGCACTGGCACAGGTTGTCCAGAGGAGCTGTGGCTGCTCCATCCCTGGGAGTGTTTCAGGACAGCTTGAAGCAACCTGGGCTGGTGGAAGGTGTCTCTGTCCATCGGGTTGTTGCTGGTGGTGGATTCACAATTTGGGATTTCCTTCTCTTCCAGGAGACCTTTGATTACATTGGCAGCTCCAGGATGGTGTATGACATGGAAAAGGACAAGTTTCCTCTGCGCTTGGACAACATTCACTCCTTTGTGGAGCTGAATCAGGTGTGGGATTAATTCAAGGACCTGTTATCGCCTGGGATGATGTAGTTGGGGATTTTCCACCTTTTTCCTGGCTTTCCCTGCTCTGTGCTGTCCAGCCATGTCCTTAGGGCTGGTGGTTTTCCTTGCAGGTGGCTCTCAGGAATGACTCTGTCCTGTGGATGCACACGGACCCCGTGTCAAGGATGAATGAGTCTGTGGATGTGCAGGTAAGAGAGGACTCATGGAATGTTTCAGTTGGAAAGAACCCACAGGGATCATCCAATGCAATCCCTGCTCTTTCACAGCCCAACAGTCCCACCATGTCCCTGAGAGTGTTGTCCGAGTGCTCCTTGAGCTCACAAGGGGAAGTGGAAGGGGCAGCACTGACCTCTCTCTGTGACCAGTGACAGCACCCAAGGGAATGGTCTGAAGTTGTGTCTGGGAAGGGTTAGGTGGATATCAGGACAAGGTTCTACCCCTAGAGGTGTTTGGTCACTGAACAACTCCCCAGGACAGTGGTCACAGCCCCAATCCTGCCAGAGCTCAAGGAGAGTTTGCCCAATGCTCTCCAGGACATGTTGGAGCTGTGCAGGGCCAAGAGTTGGACTCTGATCCTCATGGATCCATCCAACTCTGAATCTCCTGTGATTCAGTGAACACTGAGGGATCTTTAGCAGGATTTTACCCTTCCCAAAGAAACCACGACCAAAAAATCAGCAGGACAGAGCCCCTTTCCTTCCTTCCCTCCTCAGGTGCAGGAGCTGCTGTCCACCCTGAGCAGCAGCAGCACCGGAGCGAGCGTGACCCTGCAGGAGGCAGGATTCTCCCAGCCTCTCCCTCCCTCCTCCTTCCAGCGCTTCCTTCGTGCCAGGCACATCCCAGGAGTGGTCCTGGCTGACCACAGAACAGCCTTCCAGAACAGGTAGGGCCCCGGGGAACGA